CTTAATGCGCTCGAATGCGTTCAAAACACATATAAAAGTTATCGAACTCTGCAAAACGCTCAAAATTCTACTCATGCTTTTCATCTTAATGCCTTACTTAACACTACACTTTAACATATATAGACCTATATATAGTCTCATACAGCATTCTAAACACGCAAAGTGGTTACAGAATTTTTATGATTAATTAATACAATTCACTGGCCTAAACTTTGTGCTAAAAAGTTAAAAATTAAACTCTATAATTAAAAAAAAATTTAGATTTTAATTAAGCTTGAAAGGTTTGTTGAATGTTAACAAGGGGAAATGAATTGAATAAATTTACTAATTTTACTATGGAACACTCAAAAAAATACAAATATATCAAGAAAACTTGACTTTTTAGGAAGAAAATGCAATCAGGAGATGAAATAAATTCATTTTTTTTAAATTGTTCATAATTTTATACAGTGTTTTTTCACCTGTTCGTAAGATCTTTTGCCTACCAATATCATAAAGAAACTTGTTATAGTAAACAGTAATTTGTTTTCTTCTCTGTTCTGATGAAGTTCATTTATATATTTATTAAATATTGATCAAGCTATTTCCCAGAGGATATTTTCTGCAGCAGAGGAAATGTCTTACTCTCTTAGTAACTGTTATTTTGACATTTTTCTCTTCTTTGGTTTGAGATCCAATTGTAACAACCACGAGATACGTGTCCATCATCTTGTCTTGTATTTGAGTACAAAACACTACTTTTAAATTTAAATATTAAATTATTTGCTTACTTTGCCAAATATTTCCCTTAAAATATTCATGATTTTGCATGCCATAAATTAAGCTTAAAAGTGGTTGAACAAAATCATTACCCCCCTACACACTAACATCCACACATACAGAAAAATCTCCAATTATTTTTTTCATTTCTGGACGTTTCAACGTCACTTGAGTCCAAAAATGTGAAAATTTTGGGTGTTAATGTTTTGACCCATTACCTCACTTTCCCTCTGTTATATACAATATCCGGGAAAGTGAAATGACACTTAATACTAACAATAATCACATTTCAATTAAAAATGTCAATTTTTAATTTTAAATAGGAAATTGATTATTTTTGTTTTTTTTAAATGAAAATGAAAGATTAAACAGTAAAAAATGACAATTTTTGAATTTTAAACGAGAAATTGACATATTTTAAATATGTAACTGACACTTTTTGCATTTTTGAAAGTGAAAATAACGGCCAAATTTTTAAAATTTAAATTCGAAAATGATATTTTTTTTAAAATTTTTACATACGAAAACGATATTTTTTAAAAGTAATATGAATAAAATAAATTAAAATATATTACAGTCGATCCCCCTATTATACTGTTGATAATTCCGTTTTATATGAATTCCGTGGTGTACGAGTCACTTAGATTTTACAAATACGTGAGCCGTTCACAGCCCAGCACACGTATTTGTAAAATCTAAGTGACTCGTATAACATGGAATTCATATAAAACGGAATTATCAACAGTGTTATAGGGGGGTCGACTGGTATATAAAAACTATTCTGGAATCAGCACGCAGAGCAATAAAATCTTTTATAATTTACAACTTTTGTAAGAAATTTTAAAGCTATTTTTATGTTTTTATATGCAAATTTTAAAGTGACTTTTTGAAATTTTATTGCGGTAAAACCTTAACTGTTTTCTGAAAATTAATAACTATTGTGCCTTTTGTCGAAAGTTTCTGAAATTTTGTAGGGATGTTTGTGCATTTAGGGAATTAATGCTATTAAATTTTGATGGTTAAAGGACGACGGGGTGGGGAGATAGAGGCCCACTTACAGTTTTTACAAAACTCATCTTTACTTTTAAAATTCACCTTTTTGCCATTTCATAATAATTAATAATATAAATGCTTTTAATAAAACCGCGTAATAGATGGTGCTTGACATAATTTTAACTTTTTTGCCAGGAATGTTACGCAACTGACTACTGGGTTTTTTCAATTTAATATTTAAATTTCACACGTTATGAAATTCATATATTAAAACACGATCTTTTAATTGTCATTATTTTATTTATATTTATTATTATTATTATGTGAATTGTTAAAAGAATTTTCTTATATTTATTAGAAATAAATGATGAATTATTTATGATTTATATATATTATTATGACATTAAAAATTTTAAATATTGTCTGCACGAAAGGAAGTTCTCTACGCTTTCTCTATTTATACATTTATTTATTTTGAATTCTTATCTTTCTCTTTAAAGGTCACGAAGAATCAATTTATATTATTGTATGCCTGGTGTTTTGAATTTTCTACATGTAATCGAATATTGAAGTCAAAATTAATTTTTTGAACGATGGTTTCCAACCGTTTAATCAATTCTGTAATATTCTTTTATTATTAAAATCCGGTAATAATTCTAATTTAATAAAAAATATTATTATTATTATTTTCAAAAAATTGAACTTTTATTATTATTTACTTACATCATAAACTACATTATATATTTATTTATCTTCATAAAATAATTTCAGTTTATGAATTCTTCTTTTTAAAAATATACTGTGCGCATTAATAATAAGAAAGAAAATCGTTTATTTAAATTTTTCAAGCAGATTTTGCTTTTTATTTTTATTTTTTGCGTAGTTTCTTTATGGACATTGCCATTATCTGGAAAAATTTCTCCGTGTTTTAATATGCAAATTTAATTTCTTTATAAATAAATAATATATAAAAGAAGAAAACTCTCCCAGAATCACAGACGTGTGGATGTGGTAAGACGAGAGTTGCTTCTAGAAGAAGATTTGGTACCAAAATGTATAAATCTCTTCTTCTTCTTAACAGGACAGCAGCAACAAAAGAGGTACTTTCTGAAGTAACTTCTGAACACCCCACTAATCATGCAAAGTGTTATAGGATTCATGCAACTATTAACGAATGTCAGCACGTAGCTGCAGATCTTCCATGTGTTCCAGAATTCGTTGTATAGACTTAAAGAATTAGGATGGAAGTAGAACCACAGCATGAACACGTGGTTTGGGAAGAAACAGATGGCAAAAACGATAACCAGAGCCAGTACGATGCGAGCCACTTTGGATCTGGCTCTCATGTGCTTTATGTGGCTATCGTTCTGCCCGATATTGTTACGTAAACTCAGTAACAAATGGCGTGCCATAAATACGTAGAAAGTACCTATTATGATGAGAGGGAGGGTATATAATAGAAAAAACTTCACAAGAACTATGGTGCGTGGGTACCATAACATGAGATGTAACGGGAAAGGATAGCATACGTTTATGAATTTACCACGGCCTTTTAGGTGTAATATATACGAGTAATGCGCTCCAGGAATGGCTAGACCTATAGAAGCGCACCAGATTCCTACTGTGATGAAGAACGTGGAGTATTTGGAATGAGGATTTTTATACTTCTGCATCGGCACCACAGTGGCTAGATAGCGATCGATGCTAAGCACTGTCAAGGTTAATACCGTTACTCCAACTGACACATCCTTTAGAAATTCGCTAAGTTTGCAGATCAACTCACCGTAAGGCCAACTCTCTACGATGTACACGGTCCCTATGAATGGAACGGATCCTATGATAACGATCAAGTCACCAATGGAGAGGCTGATGATAAACATGTTAGGAACATTCCTCATCGATTTATTTTTCATAAATATGTAAAGCAGTGTACCATTTCCAAGCGTGCCTACTAAGAACACTATAACAAGCACTACTGGTACTATATAAGTTTCCGGTCGCTCCGAATAAGGGATGTAATCGCTGAAATTAAATTCTGTGTAATTCACTTCGCTGTCGTTTATCCAAAACATGATAAATAATTATACAATTCTTCAAGTTAAGCTTTTGTTTTAGTGGTCCAACGATGACAAAAGTTTATCTTTTTTTTTCGATCGTTAACTCAAAATTCTTCCGTTATGTCTGCAAAGGAAATAATAATTTTCTTTTGTTATTTAATTAACAAACATTTCAAATATAATTGCGTTTAATTAATTATAAACATCAATGTTAAAAGAAAAATTATGATAGCACATTTATTAAAAATCTCTCGTCGATGATCGTCCCGCCTCTACCGGTGATTACAGTCGACAAATTAGTTATGTGACGTAAATATGACATAACAATCAACATCAAATATTATCGCCGTTATATTTTTTTACGTCATGAATTTTGAATTATTATCAACCAATTAGATTCAATTTTGTTTTTTGTATACTTAATACTTTACGAAAACTTGTGTGATGCGTGACATGTAATGAATAATCAATACCCGCATTTAAATAATAATTTCTACGTTTATTTATTTATTTATACGGATACTTGTTTGTATAATTTAAGTCATAAAATACTAGCTAAAACACTAGTTTTAAAAACAAATCATTCATTTGAAGTTTTGAAAAAGTTACTTAAATTTTAGAAGCAGTTTAAATCTCTTAAACAGCAAATTTATCATTTAGATAATTAATTAGCGCGTACAAATCCTCTATATCCTTCTAATACTTTGTGTATGTTTAATACCACGAAGGTACAAAATAATAAAATTAAATTTCTAAGCTGTTAGACGTAACATTTCTTCGAATATTGCAAATGCAATCAGCTATATCCACTTTACTGTTTGTGAAGTCATTTGTGGATGCTGCTGTATTTTCTTTTATGTAACAGAATACTGAAGGATGGTGTAGAGATACGAATCTTCAAACTATTATTAATACAAATTCTAATTTTCTTAGTCTAGCAATCGACTTTCAGCTAGTATGAAAGTCATTTCATAACCTAACAAGCAAACGGAATTTATGTGACGTGTCATTTTGAATTTAGAAATGCACACTGCCAGATGTAAGACAGTAATGAAATAAAGGTTTTAGCACCGTATTAAACTATCTCATTTTCAATTTTTCTGTGTAGTAACTTCTATCATAATTCTTTCGTTTATTGTGTGCGACCACAATGGCTTATGTCTGTTAACGACATCTTGCCTTTAGCTATTGATAATTAAGCGTGTAATCGTTGATACCCAGTATTTATGTCTGGGATATATTCTATTTTGTGTTTTTCTTTATTGCTAAACTGCTGATCGATATAGTCTCGTATGGTATTGATGGTTTTTCTTGATGCGAATCGTTTATGATTCAAAGATTAGTTTTGGCGACGTGTTTTAAGGATTATTGTCAATTTTTTCCCTAAGATTTTGATTTATTTGGCACATTATTTATTTAATAAAACAATGTTACGTTATACTACAAAGGAACTGAGTCAGATAACCTCGTAAATAAAACAGATCGTAGTAGAAGCTAGCTTATACAAACTAAGGCATTAAACGAATTAATGTACAGAAAAAAAAATTATAAATGATAAATTCATGAATATTATCTCATAATAAAATAAAATATACATATCAAATTTTAGATGTAAGCTCATACAACTTATCCATAAAAAATCCATTAAACTAGCTCAAGAAAGAGAAGAGAAAAATACAAAATATTCCCCAATGTATGCAGAACTCTTGTATATTCTCTCACTTACAATATTCATGAGTAATAATGTAGAGTCGATCTGTAGGTCTGACTTTACGACATAAAACAACTTTACGATTAGAATCAGTCATAAGAATCGAGAATAAATCCAAGAAAATCAATAAAACTTCTAACGAGAAGAGAAAAATATACTTACAGATCCCTTCAATAATTTTATCATTAAGATATTTTTGCTTCCTTTCTTACAAGAAAAGTTGCTGCGAATGATTTCGACAGTGGAGCGCAATCTGGTGACAGTTATCGGAAACACGGGAATGATAAGTTTTGTTCCAAATACCATCCCCCGACATCGTTGGAAAATATCACCGATGAAATCTTCACGCCATTTTAAATTAAGTAGTGATGATAATCAGGCGATGACAACCGGGAGCGAAAAACTCATTACTAATCTTCTGATAATCTCCGCTTATGGTATGACAGATTGAGATTAAAAATATAAATATTTTAGAAATGTGTGCCATCACAGCTCCGAATTAACGACTAAAGTTACAGGAAGAGAAGAGGATAAATAAATAAACAAACTATTAGCGTGCACACATGAAAATATTCGGAATGTCTACTGTTCTTTTTTTTCGCTTTCGGAAACGTCAATTAAAAATTCTTTGTGTTGTTTTCTTATTTAAAAATTCTCTCCTGTTTAAGATAACCCTCTACTAAAATTTCTTGTTATTTCTACTCTAAAAAAATTTTCTAAAAACCTCCACTCCATTATATCATCTTTATTTTTAATCTTCATAAATGTTCTCCATTCATATTTTTCTAACAGTAAGTAATAATGTTAGAAAAGTAACAGTAATAAATAAAATTTGAATTATTATTTTTTCTAATATAAAAGATACTTCAATAAGTAATTCCTCTATTATTTCTCTACTAAAACTGCTCTTCAAAAGTTCTCTTGTATTTTCTCCTCTAAAAGTCCTCATTAAAACTTTCCTCCATTTCTTTTTTATTTTTATAAAATTCTTGAATTTCCTTTATAGAAGCAAAAATTTTGTAGAAAGTAGAATTAGAGTTAGGATTTAGAATAGGAATTTTTAGTAAAGAGCTTAAGATAAAAACTGATCATTTCTCCTGTGTAAGATTCCTCACAAAATTGCACTTTTATGAGATCTAAAAAAATTTCTTTGTTTTTTCGAAAATCCTCATTAATTTTGTATTTTTTTTTGTTTCTAAATAATCCTCTTCTAAATTTTCCTCCGCTTTTCTTCTCGCTTAAATTACCTCTCTGGTAATAAATCCTCACTTAAATATTTTATTTTGTATTTAAAATTCCTCACAAAATATTTGTTACTTCTTCTATAAATACCTCAGCAAATTTTTATTTTCTTATATATCTTTAGTGGGAATTTATTCTAAAAAAACTTATTCAGAAAAATTCCCCTTTCTTCCCTCTAAAATTCCTTTCAAAAACTTTTTTTGTTATTTCTCTTCTCCAGAACATCTAATAAAACTCTTGTCTATTATTTTCTCTTCTGGAAAGCCCTTGTATTTTATTACCACTAAAAAATCCTCTAGTAAATATATTTTTTCATTGTATCCTGTATTAAAAATCCTCTGTAAAGTAGCATCATTGACTTATCACGTTATATATTTTTCTCCATCTCATCGATAACTAGGAAATAAAAATAAATAAATAATTACACTTTCAAATTTGTTATTCAAGACATTAACTCTGATGTCATTGGGGGAACATTTTTTTTTATTTTATTTATTTTTATTTTTCTATTTAAAGCTCAACGACCTCCTATATAAAAATCGTTACTAAATGACGTGTAGACGTTACGCCACGTTTCTAAAAAATTCAAATAAAATAAATAAATAATGTCCAAAGAAAATATTTATCAATTATTGCTTCTCGGAATTTCTTTCAAAGATTTATGAATATTGAATGTCTTTGCAAAGTGTTCCAGTGAAAGAAATGTTACCTTTTATGCCATGTGTATGTGGGAAATAATTCATTTTTCAATCTGAAAATTTTGTATTAGTAAAATGCTTACTACTTAATAGATTATAATAGTCGTAATTATATTATGTCTAAAATTAAGGGCTCGATGGCCTAGATGATCGAATTGACGACTGCCACTCTAAAGGATCCAGGTTCGAGTATTGAGAACGGTCCTACTGTTTTGAGTCGGTCCTATTCTGCACCATTTTTGGCATATTTAAGTATATAATAGTTCCACCCCCATTGTAAGCATAACCAAATCTATAAAGGCTTTCGTCTCCTTGTGGGCATAGCCAAACATGTCTTGTTAGGACCTCCAAGATAGGAAAGAATAGCAAAAATTTCTCTGAAAATATGTTATTTCTGACGCTTTGTTGGGTTTATCAAGAAGTAATGGGTATTAAGGATCTTCACTCCTTACCTCTACTTTTTCCTGTTGTGGGTATGGCAAATCCAGTGAAAGTACAGGATATTAATGAAACCTTTTCTTCACATCCATAGCATTTACTACTAAAAGAACTTTAGAATTAGAGCATTAAGGATGAGGAGAAATAAAGGAAACTGTGAGAAGCGAGTTAAAAAAGTAAAGCAAGTAAATAATTTAATGAAAATGTAATTTACCTTTACAATTTTATACCTTTATTCACTATTATAATTCACTTATTTCCACGGCTTAATTATAGTTTATTACGTATCTTATGTAATAATCACTCTAATCCTTATATTTTGTACAAGTATAAATAAATTAAAAATAAGAAAATTATATAGCAAAAATATAATTAATGTTCACAAATTATTATAAACCTTATTATTAATGCTTTATACATTAATGTATTAACTTGATTTTCCTTATTACTTAACACACACACTAAGTTTGAAGCTTAATAACTCCTGTATCTTCTGTCGAAAATTTTTGAAATTTTGCAGGTAGGTTTGTTTATAAGTGTCATTGTTGCTATTAAAATTTAGAGGTTAAAGGTCGAGGGGTTGTAGAGATAGAGGGTTATTACGTGTCATACAGATTTTACACGTTATTTATATTTTATAATATTCGTTTCTGCCCTTAAAATTAAGCTTTTTGACAGTTTATCATAATTAAGAATAGAAAAATTTTTAAATTAAATCTCGTAACAGATAGCGCCAAACGTAATTTTCACCTTTTTTTTCTGGAAAGTTACGCAACTCGTTGCTGGATCCTCTAAGGTAATGAATGGTTCTCAACTGGGGGTACATGTACCTCTAGGGGTACCAGCATAAATCGAAGGGGTACATCAAACTTTCGTTATAAAATTTGCTGTAAATTGTTAACACTTCTTGTGTTATTATTTGATAA